GTCTCACACAGAGTTACCTCATTCTCTTCTAGGCCCTTCTCTTCTACAGGGACCAACTGCAGGGGTCCTTTTCCTATTTTCTTCCCTGACATTAACCTACCCTTTCCCGACACCGCCGTTCTAGGGGGTAGCTTTACATCGTCCTCCACCACTATTGTTATATCTTCTTCTGGTGGACATCCCAATGGCGTTCTCTCGCCATTCACTATCAACACAGTGGGGTTGAACTCTATCTGGGCCCTCTGGCTCCGGAGCCAATCTTCTCCAAGATTGCCTCCCGTACACAGGTCGGGGTTACGTAAAATTTTGGGTGCTTCTTAATTTCCCAATCCTCACAGGGAGCCTCACCATCCCTTTTTATCTTCAGGGGGCTCCATCTGCTTGCGTGACCTCTATGTCCGCTTCCCGTAACCCTACTCTTCCGTTTCACCCGCCTGTATGCTTCTCTCTCATCAATGACACAGATGCTCCTGTGTCTACCAGGGCTTTCATCGCCTTTACCCCTTATCTCTGCTCTACAGCATAGCTCTTTCTCTTGCGTCAGCGAAGAGAACACTTGAGCTTTCCTCTTCCTGGGTACCCACCCTTGGGTCATCCCAGCCATAGGCGCCGGTAGCAATAAATCACCTTCATTATTCTTACGAGGGGAGTTCTGCGCTTCCCGCCCTGGGCGGCCCTGGCTGACCTCTCCCTAGTCTCCCGCGGCTGTTCCAAGGATACAGATTCTCTTCAGGTGCCCTGGTCTCCCACAAAACCAGCACCTTCTTGCCGGACAGTTCACCGCAAAGTGGCCCACCTGACCACATGTCCAACATTTTGCTCTTTTTCTCATCAGCTGGGCTAACCTCCCGTTTGCTCCCGGGAGGACCTCTCCTCTACCCAAGCGGCTCGCCCGACCACTGGTCCAAGCTTTATTTCCCTTCTTTTTAACTGGGCCACCCTCCCGCTTAATTCGGGGTGGGCCGCTGGCCTTCCCTGGTCCTGTCTCTTGGGCTCGGCCTTATTTTGTTAATATCGGTGGGGTACATTTTCTCAGCCCACACCACTTGGCCAGGTGTCCCTTCTTTCCACACCTGGTGCACTTGTCCTGTTCGAAGTCTGGGGCAAACCCCACTTCGTCGGACATTCCGCCGCTCTGTGGTCCTCATGCCCACAGGTCCAGCAGACCAGCCTGTATCTACCCGGCGTGGGCTTATAAAACCCATGCCTGGTTGACCATGCCTTTCTATTGGGGTCTTCTTCCCACACCTCAGGCTGATCTACTTTAGCTTTGACCTTTCGATTCCACGCGGAGGGTCTTCCGCCTTCCCCTTCTTCCTACCTCTTGACTTATTATCTGTTTCCTTCCACCTTTTCACCTTTTCCCATACGCCCTGGCTCTCCTTGGCCAGCTCTATTATTGCCGATAGTCTCAGCGGTCCCTCTTTCAGCACGTCGTGACGAACACGCTCGTCACTTAGCGCCTCCACATACAGGTCTGCAAACTGAGCCTGCATGACCGCATTGTCTCTAACCACCTCCGGGAAGGCCAATGATGACAGCTTCCCCGCTCGGGCCCCCAATTCTCCAGGGGTTTCGTCCCGCAGCTGTGTCAGCTTTAGGAGGGCCCTCATGGCCGCTATAGCCGTGACCTCGTCGGCGAATTCCTTGGTCAACAGTCCTTTTAATCTTTCCCAAGACAAGTGGGGCTCACTCTTCAAGAGCCCCTTCATAAATTCAGACGCTTTCCCCTTCGTGGCATCGTATGCCAGATACAGGGTTTCGTGGTCTGTGAGTTCATATATAACTCGGCTCTTCTCCAGGATTGCCAGCCAGTTTTTGAAATCTTTCCCACTGCCGTCAAATGCTGGGAACCTCGGTCCACCCACCAACCTTCTTAGGTCAGCTGACAACCCCTGTCTAACCCCCTCTTCATCCCCCACTGCTCTATCTGAATCATAGTCCGACATATTTAAAGAGAAAGACAATCTACGCAGCAACAACCGAGATTGGGAAATCAAACAAAGTGTCCTACCTTACAGACGATTCTGTTCCCGTTCCTCTCGGTCCCGGGTCGTTTTGAGTCCTATTCGAAATTTCTCAGCAACAGCGGTCGATCCAGGATCCTGTCCTGCTGTCACGGTACTAATTGTGGCAGTGGTTGTTCCAGGGTCCTATCCTGGTCACGGCACCAGATGTGACGTCGTCCCCTGGTCGCAGCGCCGACTGTGACGTTCTATCCTGATCTACAACGGCGCCAGTTGTGACGTCCCCAAACAGCACCACACCAGACGTCCTCGCCGCGGCGCCAGCTGGTCGCTCCTCGCTGCTCCGTTCGGATGTCGCTGCTCCAAACGTGACGTCCGCCTGTCGCGTCAGTCGTGTTGTCTCGTCCTGTGACGACCAACTGGCTTGGTATCGGTCGCGGCACCCAAATGTGACGTTCTAACATTTTGGTGATTCGGGTGGGAATCTGGTTAGATTTGATATCAGCCTCGTCGTTCCCAATTCGCTTCCAACGCCTGGTTACCAAGGTAACTGCATTGATCTCTAGTCTGCCTACCCACGTTGTGAATTGATCTCAGGCAGACGAGATCAAACAGTGGTTGGGGCCGTAATGCAAACTGAGTTCAACGGGGTGATACCACACAAATATGCATAAAAGAAAATAAAATGAAAACTCAAAAAAGTTCAAAGTATCAAAGAAAAAAAAGGTAACAAACTTTATGTCTAGTTGTTCGATACATAGGACCGCATCTATCTCCCGACCCGTTCTGTGGATTGTGACACGTCGTTTTCCGTTAGGCAAGTTTTAACGCTTCAAGTTGTTTGCTCTCTAAGAAATTGGCGTTTGGTGTGTCTTTGGACGAAAGTCGAAAAAAAAAACTTATTTCGGTGGTCTGGATCTAAGTCGCTCTTCAAAATAATTGTTCTTGGGTTGAAGAGGAGTCAGGAATTTGCGTGAATCTTGGTCAGCTGAACTCACTGGAACTGTTGGAACTCAACTCTGGAAACTGCTTGAGCCCGAACTGATTTCTGCCTGTTGAGGCCTCGCTTTTATTGACGCCGACCAAAACCGGGGTGGGTCTGTTGGCGTCGGGGGTTCCTCGATAATTCTAAATACATAGCCACCTCTTTTATTTCTGGTGAGGGATTTTCCACTCTTTTCCATTTTTGGGAACCTTTCCTCACTCCCACTTTCTCACCATACTTCTGAGGGGCGTGAACTGCCCTCCCCACTTCCTCGTAGCAGCTTCTCATACCTATACTCTGGATGAGGCGTCGACAGCCTTCTTCGTGCGTCACGTGATCACCACTCGGCCAATGAGATTTTAGTCGGGTATCTTTCCTACTCCTTCGTGCGTCACGTGATCACCACTTGACCAATGATGTTTTAGTCGGGCGTGAACGAATCCGCGGCTTTGTTTCGGGAAAAAAATATCTTGCTTAGCTAAAAAAAATTATCTCTTCTCTTTCCCTTTTTTTTCCGCTTTAATCGCCGTTATCATTTTTCTAGCTGCAAACGGGACAATATGACAAGTCTTGTTCTACACGTGGTTTTTGTCAGGTATTTTATCGCTAATTATCAAAATGGGTGGTCTTCTTAACACGGCCTCCAAAAAGAAATATCTCTAAAGTTTCAGTCAGTCTGTCGCCTCCAAGGAAGAAGAAAAAACACTTCTGGGTCCCCATTTATTTTCCTTCGGTACATATTTCTGATATGATAATTTTATTATCGCAGGCCAAAGTTGTTTCGTCGAAAAAAAAATCGGTCAGCGGACACGGCTCGTGTGGCTTTTACTTTTTCATATCTGTCCAAAGTCCTTTTTAGTTGCCTGTTTTCGTCTTATCGAAATAACATTTTCACTTGAATTTTTTCCCTGGCCAGTTGACCAGCCGTTTGTCTAGATAACACAGCCGTTATCAAAACACATCTGATTCTTTCTTTCTTACCCTTTCTTTTTACACAGAATTTACCTGTCATTGTGATGACACCCTTTTCGCCATTTGTTACTTATCAATATATTCATTGTCTCTTAGCCGTGTGTGTGTTCTGCTGATCACCCACGATTCGTCTCGCCTTTCTTTCTGCCTTCTTTTCTTTCTTTTCCTTTCTCTGCCTCGTGAATGGTGCCACACGATGTATTCTCGCCATTTAAATCATTAACCTCTATATTTGTTTTTTGTATGAATGACTCATGAATTTATAAATTATATTTGCACCTTTTTAATTGAAATATATAAATATATATATATATATATATATATATATATATATATATATATATATATATATATATTTGCGCATGTATGCAGAAAATAGAAAAGAACACGTTGTGTGCATAATCCGGGTTCCTTAGTACTTTTGTTTTTATTTTTAAGCAGACAGTGCTCCAGTAGCTTATATTATAATTTTTTTTTTAAAAATATAGTTCCTTCGCTACAGAGTTTCTCATGTTTCAAAAACGAGAACCAGAAACCATCAAATAATTATTAAAATTAAGTTGAATTGAGGTGTTTAGTCTCAAATTCAACTTAATTTTAATAATTATTTAATTTTTTTAGTTCCGTTTTTAAAACATGAGAACTTTCTTCCTGAAGGAATCATATTTTTAAACAAAAAATATTATATATATATATATATATAATTGTAAAATGAAATCAAAAGTCTACTATTATGCTAACAGAACACATGTCTGCTTCGTTTTTTCGCCTACCATGCTTTATGTTATTCTCCTAATGCATTTTCTCTTTGAGTCAGGCTATTAAAAATTTCTTAAGAACGGGCGAGTCTATTGTTAGGGACAGAAAAACTGACAATAAAAGTTACGTTTTTCATTTTAATGAATAATATTGACTTTTTTCTTTTTCTCTTTTGAGAGATTTAGCCATTCTGTAATTTAGCCATTTACAAATTTGTTTCTTCCGTAGCAAAATTATTCGTCTACACTTTTTGTTAGTGCTGCTGATGGTGACACAATCACTGCTTCAAGTCTGCAATCATCTTTCGTGCCAATTGGTCAATACGCTCTTGATTCAACAGTTAATCTTTCTTCACATATTTGCGACAGATAGATAGATAGATAGATAACAAACAGACTGTGATAGATAGATCGATAAATAGATAAATAGATAATGAACAAACTGAGATAGATAGATCGATAGATAGATAGATAAGAAAAGACTGAGATAGTGAACAAACTGAGATAGATAGATAGATAGATAGATAGATAGATAGATAGATAGATATGAATAGACTGAGATAGTGAACAAATTGCGATAGATCGATACATAAAAATATAATGAACAAACTGAGCTTGCTAGCTAGTAAGATAGATAAGGAACAAAATGAGATAGATAGATAGATAGATAGATAGATAGATAGATAGATAGATAGTGAACAAACGGAGATACATAATAAACACACTTAGATAATGAACAAACTGAGATAGATAGATAGATAGATAGATAGATAGATAGATAAGGAACAAACTGTGCTAGCTATCTAGATAATGAACAGACTGAGATAGTTAATGAATAGATAGATAGATAGATAGATAGATAGATAGATAGATAGATGTAGGAAGTGTAAATTAATCTTTCTTCACATATTTGTAACAATAGCTAAAGTCATTTCTTTGGCTATAGAAGCTGATTGCGTAACACATTCGCTTTCCTTCGACAGACTATCATGATAAACATTTTAATCTTTTCCCAAGTTTCAACTATTCATGATTATTTTGCTTATTTCTGAGTTTGTTGTTTTTTTTTACATAGTCTCAAAGTATCATTAGTAGTAGTATGCATCCGTTAATCTCGCGAGATAAATGTAGTGCCATTTTTGGTGAATCGGGACTGACCTTTCCAGGTCGCAGGCCTTGGCGATGGTATACGGAGGACGTGATCTACCCAGACTACATGCACCCGCACCTCTCGGCTGGACCGACAAGATTCAAAGGAATGTGAGGTGGTTACATTAGAAGACGGCTTGGCTGCAAGAGTTGTCGGAAAGTTGACAGCCAAACTTTTCGGGGCATCAATTCGAGTTTTCTGTCAGGATTTACTTCCATAGCCTTTTCCATGTTTTGCATATGACCACAAAGCAACGGAGGTTTAAAATCAGGGTTTTCCTTCCTCTCAATGGATTTCTTTCTTGTCAACACTTTAAATAAACAGCTATCGCCGTGTTAAAAAAATGCAATTCTGCGATATTTTAAAGTAAAAATGAGTAATATTTATTTCAATTCAGATTAATTAAAATTTAAATCAGCTAATATTTTTCAAATAAAGTTTCAGAAAAGTATCTTTTATTTTTGAAAGATTTTTTAATAAAGAGAATTACATCATGATGACGAATAGCTAAAAATGGCGCTAAAATAGACGATTTACGTAATTTCTAAACGGAAACTCCTTCCAGTTAATATAAGTTAGTTTTAAAATACAGTAAAATATTTTGCTTTTTGAAAATATTAAGTTTAATATATTAGCATGAAATTCAAAATAAAATAAAAGTTTCAAGAAAGATTTTTCATTTTTTTAAATTCATTTTAAACATTCGATATGGCGTTTCTTTGTAGGTATCTTCTTCGGAACAATATTTACGCCTTCAGTTAAACTTAAAATCCGTTAAGTCAATACCAACGTACAATCCAATAATCAGTCAGACAGGGAGTGTTTGCGTCGATTCGCGAAAAACAAAATGTGTAAATACATTACAGGGCTTAAAATCATTGTAGATCCCACCATATATTTAGGATAGTTCAACAGTTTCAGAGTCATTGTAGATCCCACCATGTTTAGATCAGTTCAACAATTTCAGTCATTGTAGTTCCCACCATGTTTAAAAGAGTTCAATAATTTCAGAGCCATTGTACATCCCACCATGTTTAAATCAGTTCAACAGTTTCAGAGTCATTGTAGATCCAACTATGTTTAGGTCATTTCAACAATTTAAGTGGCATTGTAGATTCCCCCATATTTAGATCAATTCAACACTTTCAGAGTCATTGTAGATCCCATCATGTCTAGATCAGTTCAACAGTCTAGGAGTCACTGTAGATCCCACCATGTTTAAATCAGTTCAACAGTTTCAGAGTCATTGTAGATCCTATGTTTAAATCAGTTCAACATATTTCACGGGTTTTATTTATTTTACTAAATTATTTACTCTGTAGCATAATAATACATGTTTATTTTTTTTACTTTTGTAGTATAATATCAGTAGTTTGCCATTTCTGTTATATATAATTTTAATCAAATAAACATTTTTTGTGATGCACCTGTGTGATTGAGTATAAAATTAGTTTAACAGTGTAAACTGGCAATGCAGTAGATGTCTTATTTGATAGGCTACTCTATTAGAAATAGTCCTATTCGTTTCACGAACCGACAACCATTATATTGGGTATCCATTAAGTCCGTGTGCAATTTGAAATACTTGTAGCTTTGTAACTATACATGATAGAAACAATCTGTAAAAAGCTTAAGAAAGAAGATTTCTTTAAATTTATTACTGGGATTGTCAATTTTCAACATGTCTACCATCATTACCCATACAAAGGGTAATACGATTCTATAGTTCTCGGCATACATTTTACAGCAGATTTTCAGTCATACCTGCAATTACATCAATTCTCCTAGCTTGTAATACCTCTAAGGGTCGAGATTTAGTCGAATGAACATTACTTTTCACATATTCCCCTAAAAAGAATTTCAATGAATTGAAAAAAAAAAAAACTATTGTGCAAATAATGATCCTGTTGAATTTTCAAGATGTTAAAAAAGTCATTTTGAATTTTCAAAAAATTCCCAGAAAAGTAATATTTATAACAAATAATAAATAAGTGTTCCGAATACAAGAAAAAAACTCGACATATCAATATTTTTTTTATCTTTTTCACAAATTGTTTCTATCATGAGTTGTTACAAAGCTACAAATATTTTGAATTGCACACGGACTTTATGGACACCTTGCATATGCGCGCGCGCGCCTGTCTTTGTGTGCGTGTGTGTGTGCATGCGGGCGGGCGCTATGTTTTCGTGCTATCATAATGTATGTCCTCAATGACAAACAAAGTTCGTATCTATTATTAGATCGCAAACTGTTCTTGTAATTTGCATGAAGGTCAGGCAACTCAGTGAGATGCTATTAATGAGGACACTAACTTTACAAACATATTATTTGGGTGTGTCGGGGAATTAACTCTTCATCTCGAAAAACAATAAAGAAAAGAAAAGAAATAACAAGTGTATTGTGAAACATGAATCTTTGTCTGTTTCTAAGCAAGCTCTTAAACTCCGAAATGTGTTTCGGCTTTCGGCGTTCTTGCAGCGTTCCTTTTGAGTTTATCATCACCGTGGCGCAATGGTTAGCAAGCATGTCTCGCTAGATGAATTACGACAAAACAGTGAGTTCGACGCACACTGGGTGCCACATCTAGGCCACACGATGATTAAACTTATACGTCATTCAAGACCATTATTTTACGAGCCGTATGGCTTCACTTTGTGGATGATCATGGCTCTCCAAATGTCCTATCCTTTTTAGTTATAAGCAATATGTGTCCCCTTACTATCCCTCTAATCCATATTCTGTCATCCATTTACATTTTGTCGTTAGTTTTTTTAATATTTGTTCACCCATTAAAAGGCCTGAATGCCACTCAATGTAGTGTGTTACTGAGATTGTTGTCATGAAGAATAAAGTAACAGTTGCATATGTATAAATGTCTACTTATATATATATATATATATATATATATATATATATATATATATATATATATATATATATATATATATATATAAGTTATGAAGAACTTAGTAATCCGTATGGGTAATCCTTTAAAAAGACTCTGGTGAAATAAATTATTATAATTGTACCTTAAAGTGGTCTGTTTTTCTTTTAAAAAGATATATATATATACATACGAATTTCTGCCAGGTCTTAGAAAACGATGAGGTTTACAGCCAGATCAAGTTGAAACAGCGGTTACCGTACGATCATCAATGTTAAGCAACGACGAGCCTGGTAAGTGCCTAGATGGGTCACGGCTTGGGAATACAAAGTGCTGTAAGATTAGTTGTACGATAGTGTAATGGATAATGGCTCGCAATTGTTAATCGGAGAGCCGAGTTCCAATTCCCGATGGAATTGTTATATTCACTTACGCGCAAATACTCTTGGGAACATATGAATTAACCTATCCCCCCAACTATAGGTTAATTAGTAAGACTTTTATCACTAAACCATTATTATCTAACAAAAAACAAACCTTCTAATCTATAAATATTTTCTGTCTTCAAATAACCTGCATAGGGTTGATAAACCGTAGAAAATGAATCACTGGTCAAAAATTGCTAAGAATGGCAGCCGACATATTTTCCCTATGATATTAAAATAAAGCCTTTTGTCAGACTTGTTCAATTCCAAGTAAACCAGAGTACCTGCTTGCATTGCTGAAAAGATAATAAAACGAAAATAAAGAGATTTTACTGATGATGACTGTAGTGATAAGAGCTCCTAGAATATATCCTTGTGTCAGACTTGTCCCAAACAGATCCAACGAAATTCAACCAATCTTTGTATATTAATGAAAACGATAATCAACTTATTTTAGTGATAATGATGGTAGGGATAAGAGCTCTTAGAATATAGCCTTATGTCAGATTTCTCACACACCGGGTACATTGCTTCGGTAATGCTGATGATTATAATTAAAAGTTGTGAAAAAGATTGACCTTTTGTCAGCCTTAACGAAAACCAATGAGCACAACAAACTGTTCATGTCAGTATTAAATGGCGAAATAAAGCTAATAATGGCGACGAATTTCGTTGATTTTCGTGTAGCGACAACCCTGCTTGATTACAATGCAGTAAATAATGGCGATGGGGGTGCACGTTGAGGAGTGGGCAGTGGTTGGACTTAAAACCAGTATCGAAGATAATCATTTGTTTTCGAGTTGGCGTCGTTCGTGAAGGAATGTCGAATTCCTCTTTCATAGTCGGCATCGAAATTGAGTCGTGAGTGCCTAATTACATTTCATCGGTGAACCAGAATCACTCGCTACTATTAATGCCATGATGTAAAGTTATAATCGTGCTTAATTGTATTCCTACCGTAGATCAATGGCTCGCAAACTAATCTCGAAGACCATGAATAGTGAAATAAAATTAACCTTCATTGTACACTGTTACCTGTCTTTGTAGCTGATTAATTTAAGCGTTGGCTGTCGAGAAATGAATAGTAGACTAATTTTGAATATCTCAAGGAATACCTCCATTATCGTGTCCCTGTGCCTGACAAAACGAAATCTAAATACGGCAATTACCATATTTAGCAGTAGTTTGTAATCCGATATCAGAGAAAATTTACTTACCTTGGCACATACCGGGGAAGTTTTAAAAATATTAACCCTTTAAGCCTTGCATTCCTGAACAATTTTAACCCTTCTTCTGCCTGAGCTCCTGAGTCAAAATTCGCAAATAATTAGTATATAATGTTTCACGGTAGATATAAATATTATTACAAGTGTTTACCCACCGTTCAACCGGTGACTAGGCATTACGTCATTTTTCTTTACCACTTTCCAACCAGTGTTTGGGCGTTACGCCACTTTTCTCTACCACTGTTAAATCGGTGGCTGGGCATTACGTCATTTTTCTTTACCTCTGTTCAACCGGTGTTTGGGCATTACGTCATTTTTTCATTACATGGTTCAACCGATGGCTTGGCATTACCTCATTTTTCTTTACCACTGTTCAATCGGTGACTGGGCATTACGTCATTTTTCTTTACCATTGTTCAACTGGTGGCTGGTCATTACGTCATTTTCTCTACCACTGTTCAATCGGTGGCTAGGCATTACGTCATTTTTCTCTCCATTAATCATCTGAGAGACGCCTCTCTGCCATGACTGATGCTAACCTCCAGGAAACTGACTCTTTTTACCTTTTTCGGCTAACGTTCTCCGCTGACATAAACGGGAAAAACTATATTGAATCCATTAGTAAGTCAGCTGCTACGAAATTTGGCCCACTGACAATTTTTCTCTCCAGAATCTATCTTACATATCTATAAGTCTACAATTCGTTCGTACTTAGAATATTATTACCATATATGGTCCGGTGCCCAAATTACTGAACCAGGTCAGTAACTCGATGGACGACAGCTCGGAAATACATGGTGCTGTAAGCTTGGATGTGCGGATGGTATAATGGATAACAGCTCGAAATGAAAAATAAGACAGCAGAGTTCGAATTCCAGTCGGGTTCGTTACATTCACTTACGCGCAAATATCCTTTGGAAAAGTATGAATCTACCTCTTCTCCCCAGCTATGGGTTAAAATGTAAGACATGTATCAGAAAATGTTTATTATACCACCAGATTCTTATAATCCAAAAATATATTTCGCATTTAATCAACCTTAAAAAGGTAGATAAACCGTAAAAAACAAATCAATAAAGAAAACAACACAAATATCTTCCGCATGAAATTTTCTTGGATAAAACGCTAAATATTCTCAACGTTTCGAAAATGTCGACCTATACATCATGTATATTGGTAATTAACGCTTTCTTAGCCAAAAGATCAACGGTCGACCTTTTATCGATGAAACGATACAGGGATAAAATACATTTTGATTCTTACGAAGCGTAACTTAGATGTGGCACAAGGTCGCAAGCATTGAGCGCTGTGTGAGGATTGAAACTACAATTAAGTCGTAACTAGTCTAGCGGCACAAGCTTGACAAATTTTTGACCCCGTCGAAGTGTCACATGATTAATTGTTCAGATGTGACACAAGGCCGCAAGTATGGAGTACTCAATGAAGATGAAAATCACTACTCAGTCACAATTAATCTGACGAGACATTATACCACATTGAAGTGGTACTCTGAGATGGGATTTGTTGGTTCGTGTATAATGGCAAAGGGTATTTGTTGTCTTGTAAGTAGATTTTTTTAGCAATTCGCCCCGAGTAAGGCAGGGGTGCCACTAACACGCAAGGGTTTACAGAGAGTGAGAGTAAGAGTAAAAAAGAGTAATTGGGCAAAGGATAAAGAGAAGGACAGGGGTCAAGGTCAAGGCATTAGAAGATGTCGATTGACATTACATTTGAATATTTGAAGATTATAACTCTCAGGAAAGCAAATGATAGGAAGAGAGTTCCACTGATGGGAGCTGCGAGATAAGAAGCTGTTGGAGTAGAAGAGGTGGCTACATTTAGTCGTTTCGACAGTGAAAAGGTGAGACCTATATGCCAACCCAGTAGCACATTTAAATTCATGCAGTTTGGGAACCAATGAAAGTAGACCGTCCGAGCAGTTGCCATCAAAGTACTTGTAGAAAAAGCAGAGGGGATCCGTGCTGATCCCAGTTAATTTGAGTTCAACTCAGATTGTAACAAAACAGACGACATCACAACACGTCTGTGAGAGAGCGACTGTAGACGAGATGCCAGATCAGAACCAACCACCTTGCATATCCGTCTCTGGATTTTTTCTAGGACCTCGAGATGAACAGCGGGAGCACCAGACCATATATGGCAGCAGTATTCCATACAAGGACGAATGGTTAATTTGTAGATTTGAAAGATGGTTCCGAGGAGATAAACCTTCTGTCGCGACACAAAGAAGCAACTTTACTTGCGGTAGATGAAGCTATAGATTCAATGGAGAAAGAAAATGGCAAGAAAAAGAACACCTACTCAGAATCAGGAAAAGACAGCTGAAATTTCTTGGACACATCATGAGGAATGAAGGCTTAGAAAACTTAATCCTCACAGGGTATATTGAGGGTGAGAGAGACGGGAAGGTAGCAAAGAGTTTCTTTGAAACGATGGCTTAGCAAAGGGAGGATCTTCAAGGGGTAGGAAGTTTGTAAGAGCCATAATCGCCCATTTCTTGAAACGACGCCCTACATAGATCCTTACTTTGTTCTCCATACTTGCGGCCTTATGCCGCATCTAAGCTACACTTGGTGAATCATTATTGAACAAAACCTATCCCCAGACAATTTATAGACACCGTTCACCGGCATTATTCACAGATTTAAATTTGACAGAAGTGTTTTTTTTTTCTCAAAGAGTGGCGTATTTTTTTTAATTTTTGTTCCGCTGAATCATGTTATTCTTCAAGATCCATTTAATTAATTAATTCCTTTAACCAATTCTCTTTAAAGCAGACAGTGTGACTGGCTTTCTGTGTTCACAGAAATTTTAGGATTAATGTTTGTACCACATACAGGGTGCGATGGATAAACTGTCGTCTAAATTACGCAAAAATGAAAATAATATTGACATCTCATTTTAACAAATATATTTACCAAAATTACACAAAAATATCTTAAAATACTAAAGAGTAAATTGATTCAATAAAATCGTCACTGGCTTTAACCACAGCCTCTAGACGACTTCTGAATCTTCTGCATCTCCTTGTTTAAGTTGGTACATGCTGCCATAATCCTTGCCTTCAGTTTATTTTTGGTGTTACAAGGAGTTTTCTTTCTTGTTCAACTGCACTCCTCATATATTAATCAAGGGAGTTGCAGTCTGGAGAGTTAGAGGTGGCCAGATGTAAGGGATGATGTAGTCGCAGAAATTTTCAGACAGCCATGACTGGCTTCTCCTGCTTTTGTGGCATGGTGCAGAATCCTGTTGCCAGACATAGGTTCTTCCACCAGCCACCCTCTTTTCCTAGGTTCGCTCTACCTCATCAAGGCACTTAGTATTTGAGTCTGAGGCCCTGTGAGAAAATGAATGGAGGCATAATATCGCCATCATTAGTAATCACTCTAAACACCTTCTTAATCATTATTAGACTCATCAAACTCTTTCCGAATCCTCTGCGCCGTCCTCAGATTGACACCCAAACACTCTGAAATATTCATATTGGAAATTCCAGTGCGAATGCCAAGTAGTACAGCATGCCGTTTCCAAATTTTGGTGGAGTTAATTGCGTCATGGTGTTCTTTTTCTCACAAACGTTGCTCAACTGACCCTACTATACTGTGTTGTCGACAAAATCAAAAAGAGACAACACGCATGCGCGAAATGACAAATATAAGAAGACGACAATTTACCCATCACACCCTGTACATGCTGCCATAATCCTTGCCTTCGTTTCACCAGAGAACAAGGAATAAACCTCTACTCCTGTTCAAAAAACCGGAGGAGAGTGTCAACCGGATGTTGAAATGGATCATTTTCTATTCCAATGTACCTTCAGATTTCTGTATTACCCTTTTCGCCTTCTGTTATAGAACTCCCCTTGCAGTTAAAGTTCTAATTGGTAGCTCGAAACCTGTATTGTGCTTTCTGCTAAATTCATATATTCTCTTCTTACAATAGGCTGATAATCTTTTCTTTTCGATGTTTTTACACCAGAACACATGGTTTTAATGTTATCGTTGTATAGATTAATAAGTAGATAGGACTAAACATCTCATACATACAATTATTGTTTATTCAATTCCGGAATTCGTCAGTTAATATCAGTTTGTGGATTTGTGAGTCTCTCTGAACTTGTATATTTTTTCTACGAGGATGTGAAAAACTCTTTTTCTTCTCTCTCTCTCTCTCTCGATTGAGCGTTTATATATCTTGATATCTGGTTGGCATCTGTCTCAAGTGCAGACGTCCTAAGCGCAAATGAGTCGGTCACATGTTTACATAACTATGCCAGCCACAGACATTCGGCAAGATGTGAATCTGCAACTAGTGACAAGGAGGGCGCCTTCCAGATCAAACATCTGATGTGTCTTTTGTTTTCTGCTGCTTAGTTGTGATGTCGTCTGTTTTGTTACAATCTGAGTTGAACTCAAATTAACTGGGATCAGCACGGATCCACTTTTCTTAGAACAAAGGTCTCTTCTTCTACTTCTTTTCCCTCTCCTCCCCACCTTCTTCTTCTTCTTCTTCTTCTTCTTCTTCTTCTTCTTCTTCTTCTTCTTCTTCTTCTACTACAACTATTACTACTACTTCTGTTTTTCTTCTTCTTCT